AGTAACATTAGCGAGTAGCCTTTTCATGCACTAACTTTCTTAATGTCAGCATCCAGGCTATTGATATAGCTACAATGGGACTGAGTTTGTTAGATCATTTTAAAAAGTCCTCTTTTATTGTGTCTCATTTGAAGTCTATCCACAATTAAAATCTCTTTTTTTTTTTCTGTTATTTTTTTTTCTTGAATGGCATTTACAAAACAAACCCAACAATAAAGTACTGACCTATGACCTAAAAGGCTTTTCCATTTTTTTGATTAAGCTCAAGCATTTAATCTTGTTATCTGTGTGACTGACAGAAGAGCAGAGCATGTGGTTGCTCTTATCAATATACCTGAATAACACTGCTTTTACAGTGTCATCTCAAGAATCTTCCTTAGATTTTTTTTCTTTTTTTTCTATATTGGTTCCTGTAAGCAATGACTGAAAGATCCACTAGCACTCACTGAAAGTGAGCGCCCACTGAACTAAAGCGGGGAGGAATACAGTCTTGTTAAAAAAAAAAATCAAGAAATTGATGCCAAGAGACTGTTTTTATTTAAATGGAAATCAGATGATTCCAGAGCTTTATTCAGTTTAAATCAGAGAGGCAAATGATTCAGTGTCACTGGGCTAAGAAGCAGAAACTGTGCACAAGTCAGCCCCAGATGTCTCCTTTCCTGACATCTCCTTTTCTCATCTTTCTCTGAACGATCAATTCTTTCTCCTTGGCAACTGGCAGCCCAATCAAGAACGGCCCCTCTAACATATTTTGGTGAAATGTTCCTTTCCTCTTCTGAAGGGGATGCATCTCTCCCGATTGCTTTCGCACCATGCTGCGGACGCATTCGTCTTTCCTCCTCCTTCCAGATATAAGCACTGCTGTGCAATCACATTCAGTTTGGCTCTGTGCCACCACCACCATTATTAACATCTTTTCATGTAGCAGCTGAGCCTTTCAAACAGAAATTATTGCTTCTAGGGAGCCTCTTTCCTTCTCCTTGGGAACACTCCACTAACGGGCAGAGGAGGCAGGGCTTCCTGCTCCATTATCTTGTCTCTTGGGTGGCTGCTCCCCTCCTGGACATGCGGATGCTGCAATAGCAAATCTTTGATAGGAATGGCTGTGGAAGGGCAAAAAGGCAAGGGATGGAAATGTAAATCAGTTTTTGAGATTTCCTTCTTTTATTGCTCAGATATACTGCCAAAGCATAAGCCTCATGTCTACCTCTTAGGATTTTGAAAATGCTTGGGTTTTAATGTTTCCTATGGCCTTTTGGTCAGCAATTCTGAAGATCCTTTTAAATCAGAACCCCTGCGAGTGGAGGTGCACCCCACTATAAAGTGAATTAAAGTGTCTAAGTCTCTGGGAAATCTCTAAGGCTATTTCTATACTGAAGACTTGGAATTGCTGCCCACTTCTGGGATCCAGTCAAGCATCATTAAGCACATCATAAACTCAGTGAATCCTTTAGGGGCTATCATTGCACAGTGGATGCTCATAAAGGTTTCCACACACAAAGATTAAGTAGAGGGGTCTATACATGAACCATAGTGGTTCAACTCCCCCATCAGAGCCTGCGCCAYGAACTCCCAGTATAAAACCACAGTCCCTCTCTGGAGAGGTATTTAGCATGGCAGGGTGGAGTGGAGCTGAGAGGGGAGATTTTCTCAGGCCAGCAGAGGAAGGGAGGATCTGCAGCAACTTCTAATTTAGCCCCATCTTCAGCCCCATCCGTGTTGGAGGAAAGGCACACTGCAAGGAGGAGTGCTGGGATAAATAGCTCCCTAACGCCCTGCCCAGTGAGCAGCTTAGGGCTGACATTCGGTTACACTTACTGAGATTTGACCTTACATAACCACCTGAGAGGCCATAAATTAATCTGGTCCTCTGTCAAATCCAGCTCAGGTCCAGGGCTTCTCTAGGGCACCACCCCATGTAAAACGCTGGCTCTTGGCACCACCGCCAGTGAGAGAGATGGGGAATAAATTTGCATTCCTCCATGCTGAGCTCTGCAGGCCCCAGGAGTAAAGACAAACCCCTTCACCCCAATGGCAGAGACCTTCTTCCCTTTGCCCTGTCGCTCTCGTTTACCGGACAGCTCTGCCAGTCCTCATCCTTTTGCTGAACAGCCTCTGGACAAAACTGGTTCCATGTTGCCCAGCTCTCCTATCCCTGGGAAATGTTTTTCTTCTCTCTGCTTTGCTGCCCTGCTGCCTGCTGGCCTTGCCCTTCCTGCTGGGCTGCCCCAGACCAACTAGCTCCTCCTTGTGGGAGGCAAGTCCTTCAGGAGCAGCAGGGAAGTCTTCGCACACCTTCAGGCCGGAGGTGGGAATTAAGTGATTAGCATTTTAATGGGCCTGAAAGCTGCTTAGACAATCATTAAACCTCCAATCTTATCTCTTTCAGGGAAATCTCCCTTGGACTAGCCGGAGCGATGGAGTGCCCAGTCACGTTTTCAGGGGTTGGCTGTTCACCCAGCTGAGATCCCTCATGTCATGTGTCCAGGTGGTTAGAAGGGATTGTCATAGGACTGGGGGTGAAAAACCTGGCTAAAACTCTACTAGATCATCTGGATCCCAAAGTGCATCCCCCCCCCTTTCCCTGCGCCAGTAGCTTTCCATAATGAAAAGTGGCTTCCTGTCTGAGACCATGTGTAGCCCCCATCCCCTCTCCATGCTTCCCACCTCATCATTCTCTCCCTTGTAGCAGTTTTGGAGGGGCTCRTGGCATCAAGGAGTCTGGGCACAGCCCCATCAGCCTTAGGATGTTGCCTTTTAAAGCAAATCCTGTGGGACCTTGAGCCTGTGGTTGACTCATCAAGCTTTGGGGGCTGCATTGTCCATTTCTCCTACTGGGAGGCAGCACGGCGGGGGGGTTATTGCCCCCCATACGGCAGGGGCAGTGCCCTGTCTGCGTGTGCCCACCCACTGCCTTCCCCCGTGTCCCAGTGCCATGTGACTCCCTGATTTACCCCTGTGATCTCCGGCGGAGAAGGGATTTCCGTGCGTCAGGAGGGATGCTCCCGATCTGATCCCAGGCGCGTCAGCCGGCCAAACTGGTGCTTACCTTGCAGCAACTCCGTGGAGGTAAATTTGCCGCACCATGAGATTGCCCTTATGGTACATTTATTACCTCTAGTCTTCTTAGAGATTGTATAAGGTCTGAAGGGGATGCAGAGCTCAAGACTCTGACAAGATTTGACAAAATTCTTCATTAGCGTGAAATGTAAGTTGGGAACACTGTGCACTGAGTTGTGTACAAACACGAATATACAGCTTCAAAACCATTTTACACAAGCTGTGGGAAAAAAATACATCGTAGATCCTCTTATAATAATGATAATAGTAGTAAGTAGTAGTAATAATAATAATAATAATAATAATAGTCTGTTTTCCCTGCCCAGACTGAATTCTTCCTTTTTCACTACCCACTCTCTACCCTCAAACTTCTTCCCTGAGAAATTTTTGGTCTCAAATTTAAAAGTTTTGGAACTAGAGAGTAGATAAAAACAAAAGATTAAAAACGGAGCTGGTTTGCTGAGCTAGTAGCCTCTCTCTAGTAGTTCCTTTCCACAACGCAGTCACATCTTTTGTAGAACATGGAGATGAAGTTTAAAAGAATGCAGCAGCAATGTACCATGGGTCTAGAAAAGATCAAACCCAGAAATGTTGGACTGTTCATGCAACTTRGAGGTGTCACCAGCTTGCACAAAATAATAATAAAAAAAGCCATCTCTTTTATTTTTTTAAACTCAGGATTTTTAAGAAATCACAGGTTTTGTTGGGTCCAATGAAACTGGGATGCTACAAAAGCCATAYGACTGTTGAGAGTAAATATTATGTAGTTGAAAGACATACCTTTTAAAATATCTAATAAGATTTGGATATTCACTTGAAATAAATTCAGACATCAGTGGTTGATAGCATGTAGTAGTCAGGTCAATCAATTGCAGTGAGGAKAAAATACATAGCATTTAATAGTGCGATCTTAAAAAGGAAACAGTATTTTCTAACTAGGTACACATTTCAATTATCAATTTCTTATGTAATAAAGCATAGGTATTGTCTATCCATTGACCTTGCGCTCTTCTGCCATAGGCAAGAATTATCTGTGCTTGGTCAAAGTCTGACAGGAGGTGATTTCCACCACACAACACCTATTTGTTGGAGAGGCAATGCTTGGTGGTGGGGATGACGCAGTTCAAAAGGTGTCTTTCTTCCAGCAGGTCAGTGACGTGTCTCCCCAGCAGGCTCTTGGACACGCTCAYGGGGAGGATGAAGCTCCCATCTGCTCGGCCTGGTGTGCATCCAATGTCTGCAACTCCTTCTCATCCCTCTTATCCGTAGGAAGATGAAGCCCAGGGCAATGACATGAATTCCTCATGACTGCATACAAGCTAATCATCAGTCTAGGAGTAAAACCTGTTTCTCCTGCATACTAGCCAACATGATTCCCATATAGGCTCAAAGCCTACGGTGGTGCCCAGTTTTACATCCCTATACCTTATGCAAATGCCTTTAGTAGTCTTGTTATATATACAGACAATATGGTATTTTTCTCCTTCAACCGAAAAAAAAAAAAAAAAAGAGATAAAAATAGTCCCCCATCCCATGCAAAAATGACTGTAATATGGCAGAGCTAGTGTTGAACAGGTACACAACTGCTGCAAGCAGGGAAATCTGTAGCCAAGCCATAAGTACACGCTAACCTCAACTCGCACAGCCTCCCAGCCAAAGGGCTTTCTAGTGCCCAGTGCAAATTGGGAAACCAGTGGGTTAGTCCAAACACCACAAGAAGAAAGTCATAGAGACGATCTCCAAGATGCAGGTGCTGCTCAACAAGGTAATCTTCCCCAAACCTCCCCCAGTTAACCCATCCAGTTCTTCAAACTCTCTCAGGCTGGGACTGGTCATGCAAACAATTTGGAGCAACTCTGTGCTGCTTCCAGGGGAAGTTTGCTCTGTCCTTTCCCCTCCCCATTTGCTCCTTCCCTTTCAACGGAGATGGGAATATTATCTGCACTGAAAATGAGTAGGTACCTCTCTATTTGCCTATTTATGTTTGCCAGGTGAGTTGTAAGTCCACCTCAGCTGCTGTATTTGGCTCAGCACTTATGCGCTGATCTGTGTGGAGGGTAAGCATGGGAGGAACCTGCAGAGAATAAAATAATTTCTCTTGGTGGCAGTGCTAGTTCATGGAGGCATAAAATGCTTCTGAGGCTACAGACTCTGCCATCACCACACAGGCTAATTTTTTACAGTTTTTAATGTTCTCTTTGAATGCACGACTTCCGAATCAAAGTGATATCCACAGCCTGATTTTAAGCAATGCTAGGTTGGGAGCAGTTGTTAGCAACCCTTTCAAATTTGAGTGCGCTAAACATTTTCCAGTAGAAATATCAACTCTGTACAGTGAATTTAAGCCTAGAGACAACAGTTTTGCTTTGCTCAGTTCGCTTCTGCAAATGCATTAAAAGCAACCCATCAATCACTGCAGATTCCTGTTCGTAGGTTGGAAACGAGGAGTCTAATTTGTTCTTAAATTCCACACTGAGTAGCACGCGTGTTAATGTYGTGGAAGAAGCAAGCGGGCACTCTGTGAGAGAAAGAGGAAGATAAAATCTTTTGGTATTTCAAAGAGGAAACGGTGTAAAATCTTTCASCTTGCTTCACCCTCCCTGCAAAAGGAGAGCAGCTTCTTCCTGAGGCAGCTGCTGCTTGAAACAATTAACAGCAACTAACCTGCAAAAACGACACTCATTTGTAAGGGACCCCGCTTGCATCCCCCTCAACAAAGGCGTCCACACAAACACGCTCACCCCGATGTTCCTCTTGTCTTAATAGCCGTAAATGAGGGCGAGCTTTCGCAAGCCGCCTCCGTTACAGCGCAAGGGGGAAAATAAAGAACACAAAATGTCACGGGGCTGGGAAACAAAGACCCCCCCGGCCGCGGCGGAGCCGCCGCCGCTGCCGGCGCAGAGCCCCGCGCCGCGCAGAGCCCCGGGCCGCGCAGAGCCCCGCGCCGCGCAGAGCCCCGCGCCGCGCAGAGCCCCGCGCCGCGCAGAGCCCCGCGCCGCGCAGAGCCCCGGGCCCGGGCCGCCCCGCGCCGCCGCTCGGCGCTTCCTCTGCGGGCGCTGCCGCCGCCGCTGCCGGTTTCTTCTCCCCCCCCTCTCTCTCTCTCTCTCTTTTTTTTTTTTTTCTAGTGTATTTTTTTTTCCCACCAACTTCCTTCCTGCTCCAACTGCCAAGGCTCGCGGCGGAGAGCGGCGCGCGGAGCGAAACCTCGGAGGCGGCTGGAGCCGGGTAGGAGGGAGAGGGGGGCGCGGAGGGGCCAGAGTGGCCCCCGGCGCCGCGAAACTTGGCGCCTTCGTCCCCCTGCCTCGGCCGGATGGGGTCCGCGGACGAGCCCCACATTTGGGGGAGGTTTAAGGGGAGCGAATGTGCTGCGCGGGGGCAGCGTGAACACGGCGATGCCTCTGCGCCCCCGTCCTTATCCCGGGGTCAAGTGGTAGCTGCCCCCCTTCCTGGCCTCCCCTGCCCTCCCACCTGCAGCGTGGGGCAGCCCCCAGCCCCCCTGCAAAGCTAATGTCCCCTTGGACTCGTGAAGCTGCCTCTCCCTGCAGAGGGTCCCCAAACTGCCTTTGTCCCTCTCCTTGCAGCTCTGGGAATGACCCCCCAGGTCTCAGAGGTGCCGGCAACGCATGACTGCGGGTAGGGGCTGCAGGAAAGCAAGGAAATTGCTGCCGGACACCACKCAACACATCCCTGTTTCTCTTTGCATAAAGCATTTATGGGGTTAATTTTCCCGTTTTCAGTCAGGTTCTTGGTCTGAGTCCCTGGGGGCTCTTCTTGCCAGCCTAGCCCTTGGCCTGAGCCCTGACACTGGAGTGCAGGGACCCGGACAGACCCTCACCCTGGAGAGGCGCGGGTGCCTGAACCCAGTACTATGCTTGTCTTTGAAAGGGGGACCAATCCCAAGGCTGGAGCAAGCAGATTTCATGCCCGGGGCTTGTGCTCATCATTAGCTCTCCTTGAGCAACTTGCTCCTTCCCCCCGGCCTCAGGATGCTGCTGTGCATGAGAGGGGCAGAGGTGGCCGAGCGGCCAAAGCGTTGAGCTTCCTGCTGGCCACCTCCTTCCACAGGAATTCGGCAGGGATGGGGCCGCAGGCTGGAGAGAAGGAGGCTGCCCTGCAGCCATGTGCACAGGAGCTGCTGGTGCAGCAGGCTGCATGTCCGGCTYTCAGAGCCCTGAAAGGATCCCCACCTCAGGAGCAGCACACGCAGGCTGCTGAGGAGAGTCTCTGCAGCATGGTGGAGGATAGGGGATGGTCTGAGCCATGGGGAACAGCCAGCCAGTCCAGCCCTTTCCTCTTTGCCTTTTGTCAGGTTGCAGAGATCAGTCTCCTCCTCCTGCATCTCTCCCTGGGCTGTGATAAGCCATCAAACCTCAATGGAGGATGGAGGGCAGAGGGGCAGCTCTGCTCTGTACTTCTAGTGGTAGCAGATGCAGCCTGGTAGTGCGAGGAAGTTTGAAAGAGTGGAGATGACTCAGATCTGCAGCTGGAGCAGAAGTGGAAGGAAAGAGCTGATGGAGGCTGCTGCAGCTCATCACACCTCATGCTTGGTGTGGGGCAGCTCTGGCGTATCGGGGGCTTCGCAAGGTGGCTGTGCTGAGGCTGCAGAGCACTGGGGCGTGGGGCACCCAGCAGTTGTTACTTTCATGAGGAAGCTTCTGGCTTCCTTCCTCATGAGGGCGAGTTCAGATGCCTTTTGCAGGGTACATTGCTGCCCTTTGCACCCCTGGAGCCGGGACTGGGTATTACTCAGCCCAGGACAGTTGCCTCCTGGGACTTTCCTTCCTGTCCCTCGGAGTGGGGATTCCTCCTCAGCTGCCCTCCCTGCACGGGTTCTTGACTCACTCCCAACGGCATTGCAATGGAGCCACGCGTAGCTCTCATCCAACAGCCCGGCCAAGGCTGCGCCTTCTTGGGCTGTTTGGTCCTTCTCTGTCTCCCTGTGACTTGCTAAGCGCCTTTGCCAACGCACCACTCCTTGAGTTTTCTCCGCTGGTCTCACCACACTTGGATTGCAATTGGAGGTCTGCGTATTACTCATTGCTGCCTGATTCCACTTGCTGATTCACCCTGAGGTGTAGCATAGTGGTTTTCTATTTTCTTTTTCCTTCTGTTTTAAAGAACGAGAAAGCTATCCCAGTAGCTCTCAATGTAACTTTTGGGAGGAGGGGCAAATGCTAAGGCTGTAGCTGTGGAGAAGGGTAGATTGCTGTAGAGAGGGATAAGGAGCTTTATGAAGAAACTGCAGATAACTGGGGACAGGGAAAAAGAGTTAATATGTGGATAAAGTGACATAAAATGAGATCTGCGTAGCTCAACCAGATCACCTTGCTGCCATACCCAAAGGAATGCCTTGGCCATCTGCAGCATCCACCACTGTACCAGAGCACTGCTCATTTTTTAAACCTTTCTCTGAAGAATCAGAAAGTGGCCAGATGCATGTGGCCAGCTCCTGGTGGCCAGCAGCTGAACATGGGGACCTGACGCAATCCTGCTTCACCTTCCCTTCCTTTGCGCCATCCTTTGTCTCCTGCTTTCCTCTCGCACATGCTCTGCCTGGCTGCCCAGCAGTTGATCTCTCCTTGCTCTGGCTCCCCTTTGGGAGCCACCCAAGCATCTTTGCTGTCCTCCTGCCTGCAGCAGCCCTTGTCCCTGTGATGCTGACGGTGCAGTTGTGGCTCCAGCCTGACTTCCTTTCCTTTCCGAGAAGCCCTGCTGATAAAGGGCAGGTACCCAGAGCCGCTCTGCAGTGGGGCTAGACGCCTCGTGCTTCCTTCCTTAGCAGGAAGGGGACCTGGCCAGTGGTGGAGTGAGTGTTCCTAGCAGTGAACACCAGGAATGCGAGCATATAGCCCGAAGGGGGATGTTTTCTTGACAGCTTTCATTAATTTGCTCATGTAAGGGAGTTGCTATTGGGTATTTGATTTCTTTGTCTGAGTGAGGCTATAACACCATTAAGAGACTGTGAATGAAGCCTCCAGCCTTGGATATATTCCTGTCTCTCCATGCCCTGGTGTGTGGCTGTGGCTCTTTGTGCTGGCGAATAGCTGGCGAATGCAAAAGCCTTTTACAGTGGCTTGTAATTGCAGGGTTGCTGGCCAGCCAGCAATCACGCTGCGCAGAGTGGCCGTAAATCACTCCCGCTTGAGGCTCGGCTCCCGCAGCCTCCTCCCCGGGAGGGAGGAATGGTGTGGGTCTGCGTGTGCGCACGGTGCCTGCAGGGAGCCGAGCGGGGGCAGGAGGGGGGTTGCACTGGAGCCGGAGCATCGGCACGGCAGCGTCAGCACTGCAGCCCGTCGCTGCCGCCATTTACCTGTGACGGGACCGCTGAGCCCGGCGGAGGGGCCAGGTGGGGCACTGAGCTAGTGGCCCCAGGGACGCTACCTCCCTGCGGAGTGACCCCATCGTCCGCCCCCTCCTCTCTTACCCAGAGCGAGTGACCATGACGGAGAAGACCCAAGAGCCTCACGTGGAGGATGATGATGATGAGCTGGATGGGAAACTCAACTACAAGCCTCCTCCCCAGAAGACACTGCAGGAGCTGCAGGAGTTGGACAAGGACGATGAAAGCCTTGCTAAGTACAAGAAGTCCCTGCTGGGAGATGGGCCTGTAGTGGCAGGTAAGTGGGAATGGCCTGATGCAGAGGGATTGGAGTGATGGATAACAACAGTCTAATGTCGGCAGGGGGTGAGATAGTTCAGACAACAGGGAGCTTGTTTGACCACAGATGCATATTGCTTCGACTGGAATGGGATTGTGATGTGCTGGGGATGCCTAGATCAGTGAAAGGAGACAGAGAAAGGAGACATGAAAGATGTCCTGACATTACCTGTAAGGTGGTAGGGAGGGTTAGCACAGGGTAGGGACCTGTGGTGGGAGGTGTGTTGGCTTGGGGGACTGCTCAGGGGTGAGAAACATGAGGGGACTGATGTATGTTTAAAGGGGACATTGCTGCTGAGAATGATCTTAAGAAAGGAATCTCCTCTAGAGGAAGATCTATATGGATTGGGATGGTGACAGGAGGGATCCTTGCTGAGAAAGTGGCAGAGATGTGTGGGTTCCATTGCGCATTATCTGTGTGGGAAGGCAACAGTGTTTCTTTACATTCGCTTCCCTACCCCCACATTTAATTTTGCAAGCTGACAGCTTCCCCCTAACTTTCCTACCCTGCAGATCCAACAGCTCCCAACGTAGTGGTCACCCGACTTACCCTTGTATGCGACTCTGCTCCAGGACCCATCACTATGGACCTTACGGGTAGGTAAAGACTCTCCTTGAGCACACAGGGGAATAAGCAAGGGCTTTGGCATGCCTCCAATTGAAAAGAAGTTTGGGGATGGTACAGCACAGGAACCATGAGGGCATCTTAGCCTTGCTGCTTATTTAAGGCACACATTTATGAAAAAAAAGACAAGGAGTTGTAGCAAAGTGTCAAGGGTCTTTTTCTTCATTTAGCCTGCTCTAAGGGCTCCTGGGTTTCTACTGCCTTTTGCTCTTATTTCCCTTCAATTAGGCCTCTCGAGCACAAGGCATGTGCTTTCATTAGGGTAACAGAGTGTTTTGAAACTTCAGAATCAAGCAATACTGTAGTTCCGGCTCCTGGGGACATGGGGAGAGATTCAGGCTTCACCTTATATGGGCTTTTCAGCAGGGAGAGGAAGCTGGGTCTGGAGCAGCAGAGAGATTTCCTGTTCAACTGAAACCATGCAGAGCCCTGCTGAACCCGGGCAGTCTCGCTTGCAGGGCAGGAGCTGTGAGATGTGCCCAGCTCCTATCACCCGCTCCCCCGAGCCTGGTGCTGGGCACAGCTCAAACACATTATACATCCCTATGAGTCTGTAATGCCTAACTGTGAGTCTGTACATAAATATCGTTATGCTTCTGTGCCCAGATCTGTATTTATTCATGCATTGTCTACACAGATGTGGACGTAGTTACATGCATATACACAAGCCCATGTGCAGGTCTGCTCCTGGTGCAAACCTTGTGCAAACCTTAGCAAATTCTTCTGGCATAGTCTTTCAAAGGTTTGCTCACCTCCCACACCACTCCCAGCCCCATCCCAGTCCCCTGCTTGTGGTCTCTTCTCACCTCTAACTAATGGCCTGAACCTCTCCTTACAGGTGACCTTGAAGCACTCAAGAAAGAGACCTTTGTATTAAAGGAGGGAGTTGAATACAGAGTTAAGATCCACTTCAAAGTGAGTTGCTTTGCTCCCTATTGCTAAAGCCTGTTATCAGCAGTCTATCAGATATTTAGAGTTGACAGCGTGCCTGCCGGAAAGCTAAGCCCAAGGAAAGCACCTGAGTTTTAGGTGTCATTCTATTCAATAATGGACTAGCCTTTCCAGCTGATGAAATGACTGCTGTCATTTCCTCATCTTTTAGAAAACATTGCATCCTACCCATCCATGATGGTGAACAATAGGGTTTTTTTAGATCTAGGTAAACAGTTTTGATTGAGTTTGAATTTTTAGCCATAAGGAAATCTTTAATGCACACTTAGCGACAATGTAAGTGAAGGAAAAGATTTGTTTCCATGAAGTACTTTCATACATATACATATACATATACATATACATATACATATACATATACATATACATATACATATACATATACATAACTAGGCTTGATGAATGCATAAAAACAATGAAACATTGTAGCATTTGACTGATGATATCTGACATTTTCTGTGTCCTGATACACTCAAACAACCTTATTTTCCTTTCTCTCCTAATCAGTATGTGTCAACCATTTTGCCTGTTTCGAATTGGAAAGGAAACATGACCACAGTGCAGTGTGGCATCCAGCACTGAAGTGATTATGTTCACAAATGTTTGTTGTAAACAATGTTGGTTTTGGCAAAGAAAGTGAAAGGGAAAGGCAGATAGGTTTGCAGAAAAAGAGAGAAAAGAGAAAGTATTAATACCTGGCTTCTGTAGGAAGGATTTCCCTCCTTCTCTGAAGCTTTTTCGCTGTCTTGGAGATAACTTTGACCCTAGGGACACCTCCAGCCCTCTTTTGTACGATGAAACATTTCCATGCATATCTTAAGCCTTGTTGACAGAAGATGCCTGGAGCCTGAAAGTTGGTTGCTCTAACTCCCTCCCTCAGTCTCTAAGCTGGAAAGGGCTGGCACCATGTGGATTGTCCCCTGGGATGTAAAAGGATCTGCCTGTCTTGTTTCCAAACTGAATCATACTGCAGTCAGTCAGTGTGTGCTGGGTGGGGACAGCAAGGAATATGTCCAATGTACCCGTGGGAGACTTGAGGAACGATTATGGACAAAAGCTATATCCCTCCATATCTTGAAAAGAAACTTTCCAGCTCCCTACTATCTTAGAGGGCAACAAAGAGACCTCAGCTAATCTTGATCATGTCTTTGTGCTAGAGGGATGACTTCCACCTCCAGGTCTCAGTGTGAAAACTATTTGGGAACTCAGTCCTTCACTTTGTTTGTCCTTGTTAGCCCCTCTTGGGAAGCTGATTGATGTGCCCCAGTCAACTTCTGAGTCAGGGGAAAGATGTAGAAGGGTCAGAGATGCCCTTACACACACAGATGGTGCCATAGGTCTCTGGGACACAATGGAGGAATATCAGGGCTTCCCTCAGCAGTATGTGTCCTGTACTGCTGACCCCTTCGGGAACAGTGGTGTCTCTAAACAAGACAGCTACAGCAAAGCTGTGACACTTATGCTTGGTCACTTCTTGCAGGTAAACAAGGACATTGTGTCAGGACTGAAATACGTGCAGCACACTTACCGGACAGGGGTGAAGGGTGAGTAAGACCCCTTCCTGTTCTGTACACCAATACGCTAGTCCCTGTGAGCCCCACTGATCGCAGAAGTGATCTTGGTTGTTTTGGGTGAGAGACCCTCCTTGGCCCCATTGACCTCTTGGCTGCCACGTGGGAGATTTCCCAGCAGAGTGCGTTGGCCTCAACTCTGCATTACCCAGGCCAACTGCTTCCTGTGTGAACTCCCTGCGAGCCAGCTCTGGTATCTATATGGTACGCTGCAGTCTCCAGCACAGATGTCCCCAGAGACACTGTTTAGACAGTGCTTGCCGCAGAGATTTCCTCTCCATACAGAGCTGCCCTCACCTCCACCCCCACCCTAGAGATTGTCTTGCTTGTTGTGGAGTGCAAAGCCCTTGCAAAGCTTATTGCCCCCTGACAGTCTTCTGGATGTATGTGGTAAAATGTGGAGCTGTTTTACAGAGCGTTGCACAGGATCCTGTTTTTGCCCATTGCTTCTGTTGTTTGTACAGTGCTGCCCTGCCTGGAGTAGGCTCAGAAAAACTCCATTTCACACACGTATCCTAAATTCACATCTCTGTATACAGCCACCTCTAAGGCTCCAGCATCCTGTTCAGCACGGATGTGTCTTCTCACCAAAAAAAGAAGTAGCAAGAGATCGAGAGAGATCTCTAGTGATGCTCTATGTATAACTACTCTCTTCCAGTATCATGTACATGAGAGAGGGCATGGGCTCAATTGCCTGCCTATCTGTCCATCTGCCTGTCCATCCTTCTGTCTATTCAGCTGTTTCTATGCTTCGCTTCATCCAGCTTCTCATTTCCCGTTTGGTTCTGTCCCCTTTACTAACCCCTGTTCCTTTCTGTCCGCACTGCTTCCTTTTCCTCTGTGATCTCATGCTCGTGGCCTCTCCTTCCCATATTTATTCCCCACCTGAGGGACTCATCCCTTGTGGATTGTTTTCCCCTAGTGGACAAAGCCACGTTCATGGTTGGCAGCTATGGGCCACGGCCAGAGGAGTACGAGTTCCTGACGCCGATTGAGGAGGCCCCAAAGGGTATGCTGGCCCGAGGCACCTACCACAACAAGTCCTTTTTCACGGATGACGACAAGCACGACCATCTTACTTGGGAGTGGAACCTGTCCATCAAGAAGGAATGGACTGAATGAGTTCACCCTGTTTGCCTTCCCCCTTCCCGTCCCCCTGCCTCCTGCACCAGTCTCCAGGCGGGCCATGCCTGCTGTGCTGCTCCCACTCCCGCCACCATGGCTTGCGCAGCCCTCGTGGACCCTCCTGTGGGTGCAGGGGGCTCTGGGCCAGTCTTGGTTTGTGCACAGGCCTGTGGACGGCCTTGGCTGCATCTTTCGGTACACTGAAAATAACTGCTCACCCAGTCTCACCACTGCTCCATCACGACACATAATGGGTTACATTGGGAACCATCTCCCTTTCCTGCTTCCAGTACTTTATCCTGCTGCATCTGTGTCCTCTTCTACACAAACTCCGGTCCCAGAAGTGCCTTTTCTAGGACACAAGGTCACCTCGCCAGCTCCTTGATTCTCCTGGCAGGGCGGACTGGTTCCTGGAAAATCCCTATCTGAGTTAAACATGCCATGTGCACCRGCTCATTGTAAATGGCTACTTACCTCCTGTGATGGTCTCCTGGTCTCCTGGTGGTGCCCTACCCTGTTGAATCCATGATTGTGCAGGCAAAAACAGTCAGGGGGATGCAGCTAGATGCTGTAACAAGACTTCAGAGTCCCAAGAATAAAAGCAATTTCTTTCTTCGTTTCTGCATAAGTGTCTTATTCTTTCCTGCAGTAGATCTCCTGGTGTTGTCATTCCAAATTTTGCAGAGGTTTATGTGAAGAATGTATTATAAGTAGGCATAGACTTCTTCAAAATATCAGGTGAACTCTAATGCATACAGAACCTGGAGACATTTTGTTGCTAAAAGGAAATTATTTCAGAGCTGTTTTCTTTGCAGGTTTCATGAACCCTCCTTTGAAGCCTAAAGTCTTGGCCACAGTTGGGCAGACTTCTGGACTGAACAGCCCTCACCTCTCTTGTGCAGGGTGGCACAGGAATGAGCCTGGTAGCTATGCCATGCCCTTCTCATGTTTAACATTTACTATGGCAGCTGCTACCCACTTGGCCAGAGCAAATGCAGGAGCTGCCTATCCCACTGGCTGAATGCAAGGGAGAATGACCCTTTGTAGGAGAGCACTCAGGAAAGTGCAATGGCTCCCCTCTGCAAGCAGGGCTATTTTTGGCTATTTTTAGCAATTCATGGTGCCTAGTTGTGTGGGGAGAACGCTGCTGACTCCCTCAGTTGTACAACACCGGGTGAGATGGACATGGTGATAGGCAGTGCCTGTGAGAACATAGTTGGTGGTGGGGCGCTCTCTGAAGCTGATGTCTCCGCAGCAGGGAGGCACTGGTGTGCAGTTATCTCAAGAGCTGAAGGTTTACTCCAGGCCAGCTGCTCCCTTCCCACCGAGAAATGTCTGACGTGTCACTTGCCTAGTAGAGGACCAGAACAGGATGGTGTAGTGAGAAGACAAGAAGCTGGGATCATGGGCACCTCCATGTTCACATGTCTCTTCATTATTCTCCTCACTGGGGGCTCCCCAGCAGGATGCACTGATGGCCGAGTCTCATCTCCTGGTAAGTGCAGGAGGGAGGAAAGTAAGCTTTCCTCCTGGCTCAGGGAGAAGGTCGAGTCTGGTGTGGGGGAGAATGCGATAAAGGGTTTTAGTGGGAAGAGGTCTATGAGGGTCTGTAAGGGAGTGGGGAAAGACGTTGAGTGAGTCTGCCTTATGCTGAATCTGCTTCCCCAGGCTGTATTACACAAGTATTATACTGGGATATGTGAGAGTGCAGGGAAACATGGAAAGGGTGTGATTCCTGTGTGTGCATGAGAGAACTTCCTTGAGCTGCTCTTTATGTATCCTCTGTGCAATCCTGACCTTTCCTGTCCAGACATGGCTCGAAGCCAAAAAAACACTGTGATATTGAACAATACAGTGGACATCAAAGCCTTCATCAGTGCTGTGGAGGTGGCAGTCGTTGGATTCTTCCAGGTACGTTCAAACCATTTCTCTTTTGTTTTTGGTGTTAGATGTAGCCTGGCTTGGTGGAAGCGTGGGGCTGGACAGGGTATAAACACCTTCTAAAGGCAGCTGCTTCCCCAAGAAGGTGCCAAGGCTGTAACAGACACATAGAGGGATTAGGCGACAGGCCACAATGAGAATGTCAGGAATTTGGTCTATGTGTGGAAAGAGCGATGGAGCAAGGGAGGAATGTGTAGGAGTCTGTAGGAGACCTGGAGGAGCAGGAATGGAAATACTGTAGAGGAAACAAAATTGGAATGTGGGTGGCTAAGAAATACAGTGAGTTGGCAAGGGGTGAGAAGGGACATCAATTGTTTGCCTTAATCACTGAAGGAAGGCAATGCATTCCCTGTGTGGCAGAGACAAGGAAGCCATAGCTCGGAGAGGAGTGTTTTTTTCTGAAGTCTAAGGATTTGGGCTCCAGCTGCAGCCTCCCTTCAGGGTGGATATTAGCATGGTCTCAGACTTCACACATTCAAAAATAGCTCTTTTCCTTTGCCTGCCCCGTGCCTGAGGCAGAAGGGCAGCATAGGGAGGGAGCCATGGCCTCATAGAGGGCAAAGGCACCTTATAGCACATCACAGAGTGAGGAACAACATCTCTGCCTGTGCAGCAACAAGTTTGTCAGTGCAGAGGCAGGTGCCCAGGGTGGTGCTATGCACTGATCACAGAGCATCAGCTGCTGCATGTTGTGCACCTGCGGGCATGCAGAGCTCCCTCGGAGGCTGCTCTCGCTGTGCTTCGGCAAGCCAAGAAGGGATGCTGTGTACACAGAGTGAAGGTATTCAGATGTCTCTCTCCTTCATGGATGGTAAGCGACATTGTAGCCAGGCTGCAGCCAGGGTGTTGTGGCCTGCTGTCTGCAGAGGCCTTGCACTAAGCTGTGTCAGGGATAGTGCTTGCTCTCTGGGTCAAGCAAAGTTGGGGCACAGGCACTGGTGTCTTGCACCACCATGACCTCCTCTTGCTCTGTGATTTCCTCTAGCAGAGTTAACAGGAAACTGATTGAATGCTATATCCTAGCTTAGGGAGAGACTGCTGCACTGTCCTGCACTACAGAGTCAGCCTCAGTGGCAGGGAGCATGAGACAGAAGCTGGCAATGTGCTCAATGCGCAAAACACAGCGGGGCTGTATTTAAACAGTAGATAAGGAGGTATGTGTGCCATGAGGACTTGTCTTGGCCCTCTGCCCAAGACTAAATTCATCCAAATGATGTCCATGGTCTTTGTTCACCATAAATCATTTCTCTGCTGCAGCCTTTCAGTTCACCGCAGTATGGAGCAAGTGCTGTGTGTAATGAGCACGGCCTGCTTTACTGGGCACAGCATGCCATGATGGAAAAACAGCACACTGCTCCGGAAACTCAGTGTACGCACTCAAAAGGCTCAGACTTGGCCTGATTAGACCCCATCTTTCATAGCTCCCAAACTCAGGGAGCTTATTTCCACATCATATTTTAGCTCACTCACCAAAGACGCTGTGATGCACTAGCATTTCCAAAACAGGGCACGAGAATTGTTTTTCTTTCAATGAGGAAAGAATTTTGTTTTCCATTCTCCTTGGGCTCACAAACAGCTGAGCTGACTGTCAAAACCAAGAAGAAAAATAAAACAACTTCCAAGCAGACACTGTGTCTTGAGAATGTGAATCCAACAAGTAGAAGGATCAGAAGATGCATCACTCAGAGGAAAAGTTCAGAATGGAAATAGCAATTAACATGGACTATGGGAAATAGGCCTTAATATGGGCTAAGACTGTAGTTAATGGTCTCACTACACAAAAGAAAATGAATCCCAAATTGCTGAGAAATTGCACATTCCCACCACTTAGTGTTATCTGCATTAGCTATGGTTTAGAGGATATGTTTAGACACTTTTTTTAAAGAAGGAGCCAGGATATTTTGCTGCTAAACCAAGCCATTAAAAATTGTAAACCTTGACTCCAGAACCAAGAAGTTATCTTAAAATTATTATATACATATATGTATAAATATATCTGGAGTCTGGATTTTTCCCCTGTGTTTTAAGAACTCTAGGGCCTTACATCATCACAATTTTATCTGTTAGCATGAGAATAATAAACGAGGTTTAAAAGAAATAAAAACTGAGATTTCTGCCCCATTGTAGCTGCCTGGCAGCTGTGGTTTTGAACACAAATTGAACAGCACGTTTCCCAGCACATGACACAGTGGGTAATTGGCATCACCACCCCGGTGCCTTTCTTTCCCTGTTCCTCTGAGGTGAGGTGGGCGTCAGAGGAGGGATGTGTGCGTGGGATACCAGCAGTAGGGGGTAAAAGCGACAATGGCAGGGGAAGATGAGGAGGAAAGAGCTCCCTGATGCTGGACCTGTTTTTAATTCTCTTCCCAGCCCAGGGAGCTACGTTTTGGTGAAGGGCTGCACAGGCACATATGGGCAAACACATAGGTACACACACACAGTCCCAATGTCACGCAGAGCTCTGATGGAGCCTAGTGACACTCAGAGGTCCTGCCCCACACTGGACCTTGTGGGGCAAATGGAGAAGCAAGACAAAGCAGGTGTGAGGGCAGGGCTCCGTCAGGGCTCCAGGGTGAGCGCCCACAGGCTCTGTGTGGTTGGGGGTCTGGCATGGCAACTCCTCTCCTTGCCTGAGGCACCCTGAGAGGCTGCAGAGGGGGCTGCAGAGCCCAGTTTGGCCTTGCCGTTTACCCCAGCTCCACCCTGGGGCTGCAGCCCTTGGGCTCCTCACACCAGCATGGGTCAGCAGGGCAGGCAGTGGGGTGAGAAGGGATAGTGTGAGGTGAGGAAGGGAGGTGGTGCTGTGAGAGGAATAGGCTGTGCAGTGAGTGGAAAGGCAGTGGGGTGAGGGAGGAAAATGTGGGGTGAGGAGAGAGGCTGCAGTGCAAAACGACAGTCTGTGGGATGAGGAAGGACACTCCGTGGGGCAAGCGGGCAGGTGGAGGGATGAAGGGGGCAAGCTGTGGTGTGAGCAGAGAGGTGGGGCAGTGAGGAATCAGGCTGTGGGGTGAAGCCTGGATTAGGTTGTGGGGAGAAGGGACAAGGGGGAACGATGTGGGGCGAAAGAACAAGCTATGGGGAGAGGAGACAGGTGATGAACAGAGAGCAAAGATTATATGGGTTGAGGTGACAGGTTGTGGGGTGATGGGAGAAGATGGTGGGGCAAGGGAGCAATCTGTGAGGTTGAGGGGGTCAGGCTGTGGGGCAGGGGGACAGGAGGTGGGCTGAGGAGACGTGCTGTGGGGCAAGGGACAGACTGTGAGGCAAGGGACAGGCTGTGGCGCAGGGTGGCTGCGGCGGCACCAGGTGTCGCCCTCGCGCCACGACGGGCACCTCCTCATCCTTGTTCCTGCTCTCCATCTCCCTTTCCTCTTTCTCCCGCTCTCTCCCTCTCCCTCCCTTCTGTGCAGGACCTGGAGAGAGCCGAAGTGTCTGAGTTTTTCCAGGCGGCTGACCTGATCCCCGAGGTGCCCTTCGGCCTCAGCACCAGCCCGTCGGCGTGGTCTCAGTACAACACCACGGCGGGCACCCTCGTGCTCTTCCGCAAGGTGTGTGGGCAGCCCCCCGCTCCCTACTCTTCTAATCCAGCAAGGTCGGGAGCACTTGGCCGTACATCCCGCAGCCATCACAAAGGCCTCACTGCTGGTGTGGAGGGTCCTTGTCCTGGAAATGTCCCTCTTGATGCATGGGACATGGCGGTCATGGTGGGATAATATCCTCCTTGGTAGGCAGAGGATATTTGCAGAGAAGAAGGCAAACGTGCCAGAGCTAGGCACTGCATGAGCATTTAATGGACAGTAGTTCCACAGCCCTCTCCATGCCTAATGTGTGTAGGAGATGCAGAAGGGCTCTTACAGAGGCCACATGTTACCTCTGTGCCTTGTAAAGAGCTGAGCCAGGCAGATCCCAAAGCTATTTCCAGGTAATGCTCTGTTCCAAGGAAACATTATGCCATACATTGAAATTCGATAGAGGTGACACTGCCTACTATTTTTAGTGAGAGAGGCTTTAGAACAAGAGCTTAAAAGTGATCCATAATCCAATTACAGAAGAAATTAAATCTCTGGGTAGCAGTGATAAAGAAGAGGACTAAAGGCTTTTCATCTCTGCTTAGTGCTAGCAAGACAAAAAAAAAAATGCTTATCATGAACAGGCAGACTAGCGCATCAAAAAACCCAATCTGTAAAACTCCCTGCTCCAGAGTGGCCTTTGGCTTTTCACTTACAGAGCATGCATCCGTAAGACATGCTGCACTTATTACATGTAATGAGATTCTCGATTTTAAACATGTACCCTGTGGACCTGGTCCAGCACCCCGTGCTTTGCAAAGAATGATGTCTGTGTTTCGGAGCAACCAGCCTCGAGCTCAGTGTTACTTGGATGGTGTTCCTGTGGTTTTGGAAAGACTCCTGAGACACATGAAAAGAATCTAGAGACCATGTTACAATGGATCAACACAGCAGGCTTGAAATCAAATCTTGCCAAGTGTCACTTCAGGCAGGGAAAGCTGTCTCTCTGTATGCACAAGTTTTCCATCATGATCGAAATCAGATCCACACTCAGTCCTGTCTTAGCTCTTATACTTTGGGGATGGACCCATTAAAAACATTACTTTGCAGTTTCTTAGGGCTGGATGCTGCACAAGTTCAGACTCTTGTTGACTCCAGCTGTAATTCTGGGTGCCTCACTCTGAAGTTCTGTTTGCTGAAGTTTTAAGGGATGGTATTGGGAAGAATCTTTTACTTGGTCCAAGAATATTAATGAAAGTTGAGAGCAAATATTCCAGTGTTTATGCCTTTTCTCCCATAAGTGTAGCACTTGAAAACTCGGCAAGAGAGGTGTATTGAGCATGAGAGGGCCCTAGGTAGTACAAGATGTTATAAAAGCCTGTAAAATGCTTTGCCAGAGGATCTCTAAGCACACTAGGATGCTCTGTGCATTTGAGAAAGTAAGTATGGTGTCTTGGCCCATATCTAGATCCAGGCCATGCGGAGATTATATGAAGTCACTGTCTTTACTCTTCTATCATCATTTCCTGCCCTGTATTTACCACTAGCCTAGTCCAAGTAATGCAAGGAGAATGAACTAATGATGAGTAGGCAAGGGCCCTTGATTTCACCTTTTATTTGTTACATGCAGATGTTGCAATTTGAAGCAACACGCATCTCATTTGTGGTTCTTATGATGATTTGCTTTCAAAACAAATGACAATTCACTTGCATAATTTTGATTTTTTCCTAAATTTAAATTAATTGGACACATTAGTTTTTTCTTTTATTCATTGCTGAATACTATGCAAGACTAAGGTGTCAGAGCAACAACGGGAAAAAAAGAACTGGGATGGGTTCTTGCAATCAAATACTTATTTGAAGAATAAAAAGATCCATGAGCAGGCTAACAGTGAATCAGAAGCATAAACCACGTCCATTTGCACACATATAATGATTAGAAGTTTAAATCATAATGACGGCAGCATAACAGGCTGCTGACAACTAGTAAGACTTCTTTTCTGATAGGGGAGTTAGGCTGATTTATTCTAATGAAGTATCTGGCCTGATAGACCTAAAAAAACATAATTAACAGATACCAATTAGCTAATTACATGGAGTGATAATGACATTTTGACCAGAGCATAAACTATTAGATGCCAGATATCTTTCAACCTTTTTTTTTTTCATATATTTTTCTTGGAACCCTCACCATTGAGAGCACAATTAGGATATTATTGTCCCAGAATAGAAAGCAGGTGTTTGAAAAGAGCCCATGCAAGTCAGGTGCAGGCTTTTTGTGGGGTACAGAGTGCTTTAGTTTGGTTCCCAAGGCCTCTTTGGTCTTACCCTCACACGTGGTGCCTTGGCCTAATCCCATCACTAGAGTGGAGATGCCCTTTCATTTCATATTGGAGCAAATCTGTGTGAGGAATCAGGCTACAAAGTCTGCAAAACACCACTCTGGGTGGCCACACAGAGTGCAGTGGTCCCTTGACTGATCAAAGTCCTTGCTAATGACCACAGAACAGCAAAGGGGACTTTAGATGTCTGTACACCTCTGGAAAAAATAACACGTGCTTTCAGAGGATGTATACATGCAGAGAATAAACTTGGGGTGGATACATGGACATTTCCTCAGCCCCAAGAACCTCATACAACATGTATATAAAGGGTCTTTAAATCTCGGGCTTTGATCCTATTGCGTATCACAGCCCAGCATCCCTATGGCTCAGCTCAGTCATTTCCCATGGTCCCAATTCATCACTATACAGCAAGTGTGCCCTTTTGGGGTGATTTAGCTATTATTTAATATTTGCCTTCTATTTCTCTGTTTACTAGGTCAAGCAAACTGCAACAAATTAAACCACAATGTGAGTGGGTGGATGAAGGGTAGGAGATGTGTGGCGAGATGGATTTTCCTTTAAAGCTAAAATCTGCTGGGCTTGATTTTTTTCTTGCTGTACTGGAAGAAAAAAAACCTCTTTTTATTGGAGAGATTTCCTGCTTGCACAATGTTTCCAGGAAAGCTATACAGTCCCATGCCAATGTTTATTACTTTTAGAAGAAACAGAATACACGTATGAAGATTTTAAAAAATGTGTGTAAAGTCAAGATGGATGTAAGGAGTTAGGCTGCTTAATAATCTCTCCTTACAGCCCTATAAATTTTTATCAGCTAATCCTCCCTGTTTCTACTGTAGTGGGAGCTGATACTGTGGAGATGTCTGGCATCCTCAGTAATTCCTGTTATGCCATGAGTTTGCCTTATCCTTGGGAGACTGAAGGAGAGTGGAAGAAAAATTTCTGCATGCCCAGACAAAGCTATAAGGAGTCTGGACCTTGCAAAATGGGGATTTTTCTCCATTCTCGTGTGGGACGGAGATAAAGGTGGTATCCTGAGGGGTGTCTGTGTGCACGAGTGAGTGAGTGCCCATCTGCTCCTCTGGAGGGAGAGGACAGCTGTGACTGGAGATGTCTTTGTGTATCTTCAGACAGATGGTGACCGGAGGGATCTGAATAACACAGATGGGGAAGAAATCAAGGCTGAGACGATAATTCGTTTTGTTCGGATGAACGAGCTCCGGCTGGTGACTGAGTACAACCCTACGGTAACTACCAGCTCCCCACAGCCCCTGTCCTGGCACTCGGCCTTCTCCTTGGCCCCCTCTTGCCCATGTAGTTGTGTGCAGCTCCCAGAAATTGTCAGTTCAACTCCCCAGATTTGTCAGTTCAGCCAAAGAAAGCTATTTCACACAATGTTTCTCTGCTGACATCTTCACTGTCTCTCCACCTGGCAATTGCGGTGTCCTCATGTCTCTGCTCCCATTCAGTGGGGTACCAAAGGTTAGAGCTTTTAGGCTTTCCTGAGACTCACCAGTTGACTGGGCTGATTACTATGAAGCCAATGTGTCCCAGCAGCTGTGCTGGCTGCAAGGCTGAGACTTCTGTCATCCCTTTTTCCCCGTTCTCTCTTTTATTTTTGTGGACTTCTGAATAGCTACAGCAGTGCTGATCAAGCTTAGTTTAATCAAAGGAGAATGACACAACCTATTTCAAAGCTGTACCTTTGAAACTGGTGCCAAGGATCATTAAGAGAGCTGGCCATTCCCCACTTCAGGTGCAGCCTGCCAGAGGAGATGGCATTTTGTTTTGGAAATACTCCATTTTGTTTCCAAGTGTAATACTGTAGAAGTTCTGTTAAAAAAAAAAAAAAAAAAAAAAAAAAAAAAAAAAAAAAGAAAAGGATTTGGTTTTCACCATGATAAGGGAGTTTAAAAAATATTTCAAAGTCTCAGAATATTTCCTGGGGGATTTGGGGGATTTTTTTTTTTTCCCAATTGTCCTTACAGCTCTTTGAAAACACCCAAATAATGACAGAAAGGATGTTGTTGTTATCTTTATAAATGTCTAGTCCTTATGAATACTTATAATGTTTCCTCCTCCATTGTATCTTTTGGCAATTGATTAGAATATTGCTTCTTTTCATGCATTTCTTATGACACTTCGGGCTCTTGCATTGCTTTGTCCTGTTTTGCACTCAGACTTGTCTTCTTGACCTAGAAGTCCCTGAGCTGTTCAGCCAGTCCCCTCCAGACTGACTTGCAGTACACGTGTTCCATTTTTTTCCTGGCCCTCTGGAGTCTTACCAACATGCTGCAATTAACAGTGCCTCCTGCAGCCCAAGGCCCAAAGCCCTCCCAGCTCGGCTAATGTAGCTTGGATTTTCATAAATATTTATTCCCAGTGCATATGCTGTTTATATTTTAAAATGTTATAGGTCAGCAAAGTCTTGCATCAAACTAAACCCTGCCGATAATTTCTATCCTTATCCTGGGGCCCTGTTTCGCCCACATACTTTAGGCAGTTTTTAGGCAATGATCACCCTGAGTACTTTCCAGAGATTTGGATGTGGTCTAGCCATGTTGATGAGCCCACGCTAATAAGCCATGCTGATTTCTCTTGCAAACGTTGTGTGAACAAACACACCTTTGTGTGGAGCTGCCAGAGCAACTGCTGTACTCATCTTGTACCCTCTCAGCCCTGCCCTGTAGTGTAGGTTTCATTCTTTGTTTTTCCAGTCTTGTCCCCTCCCTTGAGTTTCTTCAGCCTTGATCTGCCTCCTCTCTGTACTCTCCCGCACCCCATCGGCACATTACACAGAAGTTAAGCGATACAAAATGCCTGATAAACATTAAGCTAAGAGGGAAGCCCCAGCCGCCAAAAACCTAAATGCCTTGTGGAGCTCAGCCCTTGCAGAAATGCACTCCCTGACCCCTTCACTGTTACTCTTGGCATGTGTTGAAACTTTCTGCTCCTTTAGGGAAGAACTGGCAGGAGCTGGGCTGTCTGCATCTCCRTGGTTTCAGTGGCACGGGGAAGGCAGCAGGTCAGCTGTAGCCTGGCCAGGCTTCTGTTTGGTTTGAGGGAGAGGCTACATTGCAGGAAGAGGGCAGGAGAAGAAGCAAGATGACAAATTGCCCAGTGCCTGAAGATAGGGCAATGACTTCTTAGTCAGTGCCAGACCCGGTCTCCTCACAGAGGGCCAGTGTATGCTGCCTGCTTGGCCCTTCACCAGGGACCTTTTCCCAGTTGAGACCTGCAGAGAGAGAGTCTTAGCCCTCAGGGCTCTGTGCTGCCCAGCTCTTGAGGTTGCTGAAATGGGGTCTACTGGGAATGCCTCCTCACTATATACAGCTTAATGCTAAAGAAAGGAAATGAGAGGACACACCAGTCCCAACACCACAAATTCTTCCTACTTTCTTGTTCCCATTTCAACCAGGTTCCAAACATGTCTGTTTCAGTGCACCATGGTTTAGTGTTCAGTGGCCTTTCATCTCATTTCCTTGCCCCTCTAGTCTTCATGTTGCTCTATCTAGACAGTCACCTTCCCTAGTTACTGGCCATCCTGAGACTTTGGCTTTGAGGTCTTAAGACTCTTGGCTCAGGAATAAGTGAAACCAGCAGTTTAAGAGCTTCTACAAAGAACACATTTTGGATCCCTCTTACTTCAGAGAAAGCTGTTCTGCTTGTAAGGGTTACTTGCCAAGGAGCTGATCAGCTAAAATATGAGAATTGATGTCTGTCTGGCAGTGCATCCAGTGTAGGTTGAGTATTCTTATCCTCTTACCTATGCCTCTCTGTGTTCATGRTGGCTGTGTTTTTGGCAGACAGCAATTGGTCTGATGCAAAGTTCCGTCCAGCTGCACCTCCTTCTGATCGCAGACAAGAGGTCCTCAGAACATCCCGAGCACATGCATAGATTTCGTGAGGCAGCAGAGCTCTTCCAAGGGAAGGTGAGTCCAAACAGAGCTGAACAGGATCCACAGGGAGAGAAGAGAGAACAGGGATTCATTTTGCAGATGTGGGGGGCCATCATCTCCTACTCTGTGAGTTCGGGGAGCAAAAGCCAAATGGGAGGAAAAGAAGATTTACTGGATAATCAAGAGAAGGAGTTGGATTTGTTCATTTTTTTTGCCAGTTTATCTCCTTATGGAGAAAATTTCTTCTGTATTCTGCTATCCCACTCTTTTAGTAGGACATTTTGTTTTTTCTTGCTTCTGGTCCAGTTTTGTTCCTTTTCAACTGGGAGATAGCAAACAGCTGCTACAGTTCAGTCTCAGGATAGTTGCATTCCATTGGTGTGAGAGGTGATTTTGTACATATGGCTTGTGAGATGCCAAAGAGCATTATATAAGTGACCAGATAGTAATTAATATCATGGTACTTCTCAACCCTTAACCTTGTCTGGGTCCYGGGGAATGGACTGTTTTAAAGGAATGACAGATGAGTTTGTCAGGTTTCTCACAGTAAGCTGGTAYGACAGATTATGACTTTTAGAGAAACATCCTCCAATTCTCATCCTTTTACTGAGTCCCCAAGTTTACTGAGTAGYAAATCTTCCCATGGCTGATTCTCCACCAGCAGCTGGATTACAGAGAAATTTGTGTCTAGGGATCAGAGGAAGGAACTGGCAGTTACAATTGGTTGGAACAATGGGAAGGGAGGAGGAGAATAGCAGGTGGGTGTGCAGGCAGAAGCTCATAGCAGTGGAGGAACATTGGGCTAGAAAATGTTGAAGCTTGGGAGCAAGAACACCTACAGGCATCTGCTTGCATTATTGTAGAGGCAAATTAAAAACAAGTATATGTTCAGCTTGAAATTGGGGGGCTGCCTCAGAACCAAGCATCCTCAGAAGTTCTGAGATTTATTTGTGGCAGGACTACACTGGACCTTGCAATCTCCCATCTGTCACCAAGAGATGAGTCAGAATCCATACACCAAAGCCAAAAGGTCTATTGAAAAGTGTTTTGTTTTGATAAATCCACACCAATGAACGAAAATACCCTTCTTTGAAAAAGTGACACCATTATTCCTGTCCTCCATGAGCTGCAGATTCTGATGCAATGTGCTCCCACCAGCTAGCTAACTCTTCTAACACAGTGCATCTCTCTTCAGCATCACTATCCTTTGCTGATGTGGCTGTGCCCAATTTTTACGKCATGTGACAAGCCCAAATCTGCGTAGATGTGAGTTAATTTTCCTAGAAATACTTTAAAAACACTGGACAACATTGTACTGAAGTCTAGATAATTTATGATCTAGACAACAAGCCAATGTCAATTTTTTTTATTCATGCAGGCAACTTTCCCATCAAATTAGTACAGTGGGAGTTGCTAGAGGGAAATATTGAGCTTAAAGATGTGAAGATTTGACTGTTACTGTTTCAGTGCAGTGATACTGCAAGGCCCATAGATAAAAGTGATTGAGAGTGTAACAAGTTCTTTCTCTCAAAGGAGTTGCACTGTAAGGGCTGAATTGTGCTGTGGAGTGCCCTCCTAGCACAGCGATATGAGACAGATAGGACCCATCTGTTTGTATCTAGATTTTAGATCTAGATTCAAAGGAGTAAGCAGAGTAATATGTCCATTCAGAGTCCTCTCCATTGCTTTGTCAGGTAGAAATACCTGAGTTAGTTTGGGTACCAGAAGCAGCCACTACACAGTATCATGGAAACCTCTGTTGGCTACTTTTCCTAAGTGGAGTTATCTGTTATCAGGGCTACCAAGTTAGATTTATTTCAAAACAAGCAAACTATTGAGTAGATTCTGCCTTTTTGTAGCTCATAAATTCTCCGTGCATAAATAACAAGACCATTGAGTTAAATTTACTTTATTCAGAATGACTGATGAATAATCCAAAGCCTATAGTTTGGCTGTCTGTGTGTTAGTGTTGTCAGAAGTTCAAGTAAAGGATCCTTGCTGTCCAGTGGAGAGGTGTTCTGGTTCCCTGTAAGTGTGCACCACCTGAGCCTGCAATGTTTTACACTGACTGCAAAGTGCCAGAAAAGATCGGGGAGATTCGGTGCCTGTGGTACCTTTTCCACAATGACAGAGCACCTGCATGGGCTGGAGAAGGTTCCCATGCAGGGGAGGAGGTACTAGTCGTTTCACGCTGCTCAGCCGCTGTCTGAGAAAAGAATGGATGGTGAGTGAGGTGATCCTCTGCCAGCTCCTGGATTATGGTCCCTTCATCTCTAGTTTATGGTCTTTTCACCTTTGGCTGAGAGGAAATTCAGGCTTTCAAGTGAAGGATCAATGCACAGGTCAAGTGAGGACTGTTATTTGAACTGTAAGCAGTATCTGAAGACACTCTAGATTTCTCTAGACATTATAGTACAACTTGAAGCCTATAAAAGCTGAAGATGAAGTGCTAATGTTAGATAATAATTCACCAAGAGTGGCAAGAATGAAAAGAAAGATGGTTCTTTTCTAGAAGACCTTGAGAAAAAAAAATGTGGATGGATAATAGCAAACAGAGAGAACTTAGAGCACTGCAGCTGCAGGATAGAATCCACCAGTCTTCTTGGAAAGATCTCATAGCAATCAAATATGTGCTTATTTAGAAAAGTACTGCCAAAAAGCCAGGCTTTCTGCTGGAAAGGAAATATCAAGATTTGCATCACTGGGCCAAACAAGCATAAGTGTCTTCATTTTTTTTTCACACATTATCAGAGTATAACATGACAATTACAGCTGGTGAACTTCATGGGTGTTTGCAGAAGTTTCAGTAAGGTTATCTGAGAAATAAAAAGCAGCTTTTGCTGCAACTGATATGTTTGGTATGCAATGTCAAAATGATGGGTATCACTTTTTACTTATATATGGAATCCATTTAGAAATTAATTCTGAGAAACTGCTGCTACAGCAGTAACTGCTGTAGTTATGTGAGAAGTTACTCAGGCTTAAGAATTCGATCTCTTTGCTTATGCAGCCTTCTCAAAGAATAGCTGTAGCTCTGTAAAGCTCAAGGTCAAACACTGTGTATGAGGCTTGATCATCCTTCCTGTTTACCTTCCTTAGAGATAAAAATAGCAAACATGAAATTGTCTTCTACCATTGGAATACTATGTTCAATTAAATTGAACTCTTTGAGCAATAGCATCATTTGCAATAGCATCCTAGTACTTACCTGGAACTTCATGTTCTAAAAGCACTGGGCTAGAAATCAAGTTGTCATGATGCCAAGACAGCACTAGTCTGCAAAATTCTCTTAAGTAGAACATATTTTGAGAGATAGTACACAGATAATTTTGCAGTGTTCTGTGTTCATGGAGTATCATGTGGAGGGAGAAACTGGTGCTGGGAACGCCCCAGACATGCAGAATATCCTTCACTGCCTCTAGTAGCAGGCCTCCAAAAACAGACAAGAAGACTGGTATAAGATGAAACAATTTTGTGGAAAAATGAAGTAAAGAGTTTATACAGGACAGTTCAAGACAGAAAACAAACTTTCTCTTTTGAGTGAAACTACTGGTTTCTAGCAGTGATATGAGATTGGCATCAGGAGTAGATTTTTTTTTTTCTTTTTTTGATAAACTGTAAGTTTGGTAAGTGGTCCTAACTAAGGCCATAAGGACAGGCACATACTTCCTTCCCTTCCAGAACAGGTGGAATAAAATTCCTCTCACCTCTTATAGTAGAGAGGGCCTAGATGACTGCCTGAGACCAGGTGATTTTTTAAACAACAGAAGTTTGATGTCTCATGTGAAGAATGTGAGTAACAATTAAAGCAGAATAATAAAGGAATAAACCCTTTCTTTCTTTGCAGGGGAGTCAGTGTAATTTTCATTAGTTTCTGTGTTAATTCTTTATAATTACAGCTGGTTGGGAATCTTTCAGTAAAATAAATTATCATGAGGAAATGCCAATTCCATCAGGACAAATCAGGACAAATCAGTCATGGAAATGTCTGCATTTAGAAATCTGCTTGTTTTCCAGCTGTTGAGGGAGATGAGGCTTCCTGTGTTTGTGGCCTCAATACAAATCCACCATACTGACTGCCTCAAAGTTGTAACTGCATGACTACAGACTCATGCCGAGGGAAGACATTAAGGAGTCTCCTTTCAAGTGACAGTAGAAATACCCAATTGCAGTCTGTCCCATATTTCTGGAATATCTCTCTCAAGAGTGGAAGGAACTTCTGCTGTATTTCTGTACCCTGAAACTCTTTGAGCCAAATGTGAGTCAGTAGACACATCCAACTTAGTCCTTCTAGCTGATGAGCCAGTTGTTTGAGTTTTAGTCCTTGAAGCAAACAAAAAGTGTTTTGAGGTCTAAACACGAACTTTTCTTTATTGTTTTTCTTACTTTATTCTTGTATTCCTGGATAAAATATTTATAACTTTTTAGTTTGGGGATTTTTAACAAAAGATGGAGGTTTGGTGAAGTGAAGAATGTCAACTAAAGTTTATATTGCTCTTTTCCAATATTATTAATCTGTTTTAAAGCTGAAGAGTTTTAGCATAGAACGTGTTAACATATAACAGTTTAGGAATTCTATTTTTTTAATTAACTTCTTGATTGGTATTTGTTTAGCAAATTTTTGTTTTTATTCATTGGATCTTTCAAAGAGAAAATCAAAAGTTGGTAAATGACATAAAGATAGTTGGTCAAAATGTGGTACCACCTCCTCTATAGTTTCTTTGAGAGTGCTTCCCTCCAACACCAACCTTTGCTTCCAGATCACTAGTTAGAAGGATATATCTATATATATACTCAATATACCCATTATTGAGTATTATATGGGTATCATATACCCATCGATATACACCTGAGTGTACTGAAGGCTATACTGAAATACACTCATCGTTTAAATTACTTCTGCCCCATCCAAAAACCAGATGTTATCCTCTTAGATCAGATCTTTCATCACAGATCATTTTCTTCAGTTTGCCACTTTAATAAGGTTGCCTAGTAATCCATGTCCAAATGCAGTCATCTCATACACCGGCTCTACTCTGGGTATAATCTAATTGTTCAGGGACACATCACGTAGAATAGCATGTCCATGTACTGTTTGGGTGAAATGACATTGGGATGCATACTAAATCCATGTTAACCTAGAGGAGTTGAAATCACATCTCTTTGCTATGCCATGCTTGTAGATTCTTGGGTTGGGTCAAAATGGCACGAGAGTTTACTCTTCTAGACGATGAATTTAGCAGTCTGGGAGAAGGTCTCCACAACAACTCTGCTTATTAACTTATTGCCTTTGGAACACAGTTGAATTTTGAAAGAGAAATCGCATGGAGAAAATATCAGCCATAGTCAGTGAAATTACTGACTTTATCATTGCGATAAGCTGTTTCTTTATCATTGCGATTAGCTGCAGTTAACTCTTCCACCAGTCTAACTATTCCTTCCCACAAACTTTTGCCTACACATTTTTTTTTTTCTGGAGAAAATGTATTTATTTATATATTGTAAATGTCAATTTATTGAAGTGAAGAATTTGAAATATACCAGGTTTATTTTTAGAAAAGAAAAAAAGAATGAACTAACTTGAATGTTCTTGATTGAAAGGAAAAGCATGAATCACAGACTAGGAACCAGGCCCATTATTTTCATAGTGCATTCATTTCCTTTAGCAAAACATTTTTTTTTAATATAAGTCAAGGCATATCCAGGTACATAGGTGCATTTAACATGCTAGGCTAAGTAGATTATGCAAGATACAGCAAAGACAAAATAACATATATTAAATGGATGTTTGCTTCTTTGGCTTGGATGTCACCTGTCAATGGATAATATTTAACTAAGATCATTGATCATATTTCTCAGTTTATGCACTTATTTTATGTTATGAAACATAAAATCTTTCAAGGATACAATTATCCTAGTGACACTCAAGGAGAGGAGACATCTTTTTCTGCATGTTCCACCAAGACAGAAGACATCTATTAAAGAGAATAGAAATGGAGACTCCCTCACTGTCTTATTGTGGATAAAGAAAAAAGAATTAGACACTTTGCTACTGTGAGGCTGGACTTGATAAAATATGGAAAAAGGCACTGCAGGCAACAGTTGAACATTGGCAATGTTGTCCTCATGGAGTCTGGTACATGTCCTGTAATCTATCTTAACTCATTGCAATAATATCACTATTCATCTTTGTATGATCATGGTTGGGGAATCTGTTTTCTCTCTCAATCTCTGTTTTTCTCTTTTTTTTTCTTGTCTTTCTATCACAGATTCTCTTTATCCTGGTAGACAGCAATGTGAAGGGTAATGAACAAGTGATGTCATTCTTCAAGCTGAAGAAGTCCCAGCTGCCAGCTCTGGCTATATTCCACACAGAAGATGAGGAGCAAGATGTGTTGCTTCTGGACGAAGTCTCTGTTGAGCGTGTGCAGGACTTCTGTAATGTTTTCTTACAAAGAAAGCAGAAGGTAAAGGGAACTCTTGCTTGGTCTACAGAAAGCTGACCGCTATTAGAAAATGCTGTTGCTTAAAAAGTTCTTGAGGAAAATACCTTCAGTTGCTTGATCCCTTCCCCACTCCTTCAACCTCCTCTTTCATTTTCAGTTATACATGGATATCAGAAAAGCATTAGGTCTAAAGTACAACAGAGAGGGATGTGTTTGAAGAACCTCTTTCTTCACTGACCTCTGCTCTCTAGTCTGCAGCAAGTAGACTTCACTGACCTCTGCAACTATGAAAAGGTCTCAGTGCATCTACTGCATCTACTTCTAAAAGTAGCAGTTAGGGACACAGGATTGAGAGTGCTTTTGGACACTGGAAATGGGGACAGTGGTAAGCAGCATACTGGAGGGGATCAGGGAGACAGAGCAGACAGAAAGTAAATCTGTCAAGGCAGCCACATAACTGAGTGCACGGACAAGGACTCAGGACTCTACCAGAGTTCTTTACTGGGGAAAGGACAATTTAGTCTCCATGTTCACTCAGAGTCCTCTTTTCTACACAGCTTTATCTCAGAAACCTCGTATGTCAGGGGCCTGTGTTGTGCAATTGAAATGGGATAAGCAGGGCGGTGGCAGAAGAACTATAGAAAGGCACAGAAGGCTTTCAAGTTTTGTGTCATCAGCAAGTTGAAAACTGAATGTTTGCTCTAATGTGTTTTAGAAAAAAGATGAACCAGATGAATCAGAGAAGAAGACCATCAATGAGGAACTCTAATTCCCTTCTCAGCCTATAGGATGAACCTGTCCAGAGTAATTTGTTCTTGATTGTTTGAAGAATTCACTAAGCCATACTGCTCAGGAATTTCTGGGACAGGAGGAATAAGGGGCCAACTCAGTCGTGACTTCTGTCTCCTTATCATATACATATATCCTCTTTAAGAGTTTTTCCTCCCTTCTCATTTGCTGGCTCTAACTCTCTTTTCTCTGTATTCCAAGAACACCATTTTTTCCCTCTACCGCGTCCTTTCGCTGTCAGAGCAAAGGGTGATACAGCAAAACGGAAGTTATCAGAGACAGCCTGTGGTGCCCAGAGAAGCTGACTGGTCTTTTTCCCTAATGCTGGCTCTTTCCTTTTCTTTTGCTGTTGGCACCAGGCTGCCATCCCCTGTCAGTCTCTCCTGACGCTAGGAATAGATTAGTTGTCTGAGGTCATGTGAACTTTTCCATTTATTTTACTAAATAAAGCATAAAGTGAATACCCTGAGATTTTTTATCTTTTTATTTTTTTTTTTTCAAAATGTGATTTCCCACTCGCCATGTCTTTCTCCTAAGAATAAAGCTCAAGAATTTCTGAATGGGCAAGCTCAGAAATTTTCCCTTTATTTACCCAGGCTTGCAATGCCTAACCTGTCAGATCAATTTCTAAGAGACATTCTTCATGGAATTGGTCTCAGGACCAACAAGGTATTTCCATGAGGATGAGAGATTTCCTTGAAGATACGGGATGAGAACAGCACTGTGTAAAACAGGTCAGAGTTGGTGCACTAAAAATGAATAAGCTTAAAATACAGCTGTAGGCTAAGAGCAATGAGAGCTGTGGTGGCAGTAGAAGGTTTTGTTGCAAAACAGGGAATGTCTCAACTTGGCATTAATGGGAAAGGCTATTGTCTGTGTGTTGTCCTCATATTCAGCTCTAGAGAATGGGGTGGGAGGTTTTCAGGCGAGGCAAACGAACCATCCCTCTGTTTTGCTSTAGAAGACTCTTGCCATAGGTTTGCCTCATACTTGGCTAAGCACGCTTTGGCATGGTGTACAAATGCTCCCATCAAACAGTGAGTGCATTGTCTCTGAGAGCCTGAAAGACTTGGCTTGAGGCAGGGTGCACAAGTGGCTGAGAAACCTCAGCCTCTTCTCAGAGATCAGACCAAGAAGGAGAAATGGAAACAGAAGGGAGTTCTTGCAGGGAGAAGACAGGAGCTGGAAGAGAAAGTAATTGTCATCCACCATCATGAGGGCCCCAGCATGGAGGCTGTCAATATAATAGAAAGGCAGGTTCCAAGCCCAGATTGGTTCTTGCTTTTCCACTGCAGATCAAGCCAATGTCCTTCTCCCTAACACTGTCACCCATGCAGTTGGACTTGCTCTACCTTAGCACTCTACATGCCCTAGTTCTCCTAAATTACCTAAAGCAAGCCCGCAGCCATAATAGCTCCCATTTATAGAGAACTGGCATTGCTGCACATTTACAAGGGAGAGTGACATGATTAAAATGCTATTCAGGATTGCGCAGTGTACAGCAAAGCTGAAACTCCCCACATGAGGAGCTCTTCCTGTCTAAGCAGCAGGGCAGCATGCAATCTCGGAAGCTCTGTGGTCAAGACATTTCCAAGAACCGTTTCTTAAAAGAAGTAATTCAGAAGAGTCCATGCACAGAAGTAAAAGGAGAGAGAAGAAAACTACCTCTGCTCAGTTCTTTTCACAGATGAACAGTCCCTAGCCTCTTGTTTGCAGGTGGCATGTGGTTTAGGAGATCCTTTGGTATTACTTTTAGCTATAATCAGATACTAGAACTAAGGATATTAGGAGAGGTGAGTTTGGAGCATTATATGCTGCATGGTGCTGCCTTCAGTCTGGCAGAGGTGTTCAATCTGGCACCTGCTCTCAGCCTGTGGAACTGTTTTAGTTAGGTGCCCTCTCTTCTGAGGTACAACTTCACAGCGACTTCTGTCATCAGTTTGTGGTCCTGTGAGTGGGGATGTCACAGTCATCAGCAAGGGCCTACAAGACCATAACGTTTGGTCCACGGATGTAGTCTTCATGTAATAGTTGGAGTGTGATGAGTATTGAAATATCTCAGTGTGATATACTGGTGGCTCAGGCCGTAGTTGAGGGTGGAGGTTTCAGGGTTACACTAGAAGAGCATGAATGAAGCCTTGGCTCTGGTGGAAGAGTCTCTTGCTTGATGCGTGAGGCTTGCCAGGCTTGCATGTGCTGTGTAGGAGACAACCCTGACGGCCTTCAGGATGCCAAGAGGAAGGAGTATCCAGTGGGGCAACTCGCTTTGATTCTGGAGCTGTATGAGGGGGTTAGCACAGATTTTAGCTTCTCCAGAGCACTGCAGAGAGGTAAGGTCTCTGCCTGGGCTCTTATGGCACTAAAACTTTGGGGCGCAGAGCTGACTTAGCTCATACTGGCTCAGATCCCAGGCAGAGCAAACTTGCGTCTCCCTTCCAACATCCTGGTAGGGTGTGATGTGCCTGAACTTCTACATTTATACCAGTCTAAATGCAGGAACGTGCTGGACTGTATGTCCTGGCAGTAGCCCTTGGTTGGGAAACTGCTCCTTTTTACATTTATAGCTTATTCCTCACTGGGAAGGGCTGTATTGCTGTCTCTGCAGTGGTTGAGGTAAAGTGGAAGGCCTTCTGCAGAGACAGCTGTGGGGAGCCATGGCACTGGAGATGCTTCCAGTGTCACGCACCATTGTGGTCCAAGCCAAACACTGTGTGGGGATCCAGCCTGCTGCATGGGTGTCTGAGGTTCATGTCTTGGCCCTGCACAGACAAGACGGATGCTGAACTTGGGCATGGCAACGTGACTCTTCTTCTGCACTGGAGCAAAACAAAACAGGATGTGAATGAAGCCTTGGTTCTGCAAACAAGCCTGAGAGCAAAAGCAACCACCCTAGTGACGGTCAGCTGTGTACACGGCTAATTATAGGGGCTGCTTTTCAGGAGCTTCATTTATGTACATGAGGGAGTTTAATTCCCTCTGCACCTTCCAGACCTCTGCACCACCACAACTCTGGGAACTGCAGGACAATCACAGAACAACCTTCTCCTCCAACTACTCTGCATTACTCTTTGGCACTTACACAGCACAGACATCCCCAGTGCACAGCTGTGGTCCTGGGTGCTGCCTCGATCCCCRAGCTCAAATGCTTCTGCAGTTCAGCTTCAGGAGTGTCCTTACCCTCTGCAATGCTGTGCCTGATATAGAAACCAGAGATAGATTCACACTTCAGGGACCTGCCCACCTCTGTCTTCTTCACAGGACATCCAAAGGCTGTTCTTGTCTTGCTCCCAACTAAATTCCCTCCCAAATTCCCTACAGCTGAATAACCAATTTTGGCTGGACCCAGCACTTTGGGCTCCGAGGGACCACAGCAGCAAAGTTTAAGTGCAGAAATGTTGGCTGACCTGATAGTCTTTGTTCAACCCATAAGCTGACTGGGGCTAATTGAGGGGTTTAATTCACTAATATCTATCACTGTTGAGACTTTGGTTTGGGTTTACATTGCATAGAAGCACAGGAACAAATTCTGGGTTCATGGCAAGGAGCGAAGAGCGTCTGTGAGCCTGAAGTTCATGCATCTCATGTATCCTGTTGATCCTTGTGCTCCCCAAACACCCTGACCAAGCAGACATGTAATAGAATTTACATGCAGCTGACACTGCAGGAAATGACCTGGGCCCTGGGCCTTGCCTCATAGACCTCAGGACAGAATAGCAGCAAATCCTAGCACCAGCTCCTTTTTTTAATGTCTCTGGCTGTCCAGTGGGATCTTTGACTTAATTTTGGACTCCTGGATGTCCCTACAGTGCACAGAAAAGTACCTGAAAGAGGGGCTGGATGTTGCTGAACACTGAGTGGGGTACCCCCTGCCAAGCATAAGGGAATACTGAGGAGGGGGATGTAAGTCCCCAGGGCACTTAGGCCCTGACAAGTTTAAACAGGAAATTTCAAAAGCTCACAGTTATATACCAGTCCAGCACTGAGCTGATCTGGAGTTCCCAGGTCAGGAAGAGGGTAGAGATTTAGTGGAAGGTATGGTGGGAGCTTTTTGTTCTCTTTAGACTAAAAGAGTGAAGGCCACAGGTGGTTGACACCACTGTTTGCCTGGGAAAAAGCAGAACCAGTAAGTCTGGGCAGCAATATTAGGAGCAAATCCCTCTGTTCCATGTTGACTGACCACAGGGCTTAGTCACTCTTAGTCACCTCTGTGCAGGATAGCTTCTCCTCAGCACCACTAATGACAGTCCAGGAGCTGATAAAGAGGTGGGAGCAGTTGACACAGGAGGGGAAATATTGCCTGAAGGATGTAACTGGGGAAGTGGTTTGCATGAGGGCGAAACAGGAGAGCAGTAAAAAGCTACAGTCTGGTTTAGGAGGAGGATGAGACATGCCCTGGGGATGATGTTGTCAGGAACAGGCAAGGGTCAATGACAGAAGCTGCTAGTGGTACCATAAGGAACTGATAATGATGGGGAAGGAAATAGAGCAGTGGTATTTCTGAGTCTCTGAATCAAGTTTCCCTTTGACCTCTACTGGCTCAGTTACTCAGGAGTCTACAGAGTGGTATTCTCAGTGGAAAAAAATGCAAATCCACAGATGCACATTGAAGAAGAAAGTACTTGTTGTCTYGTTGGAATTTCTCCCTTCACATGTACAAAACCAGGCAGGCAGGCCAGCCCCACAAGCTTCAAAGCAACATATTTCTYCAGGTGAGAAGAAAAGCTGTGCCTGCTCACCCACACCAGGCTCCTGGGCATGGCGTCAGTGCAGTGTTGTCACCCTTGTCTTGGCTACCTCCAAAGCTGTGTCCTCCTCCCAGATCTCAGTGGCTTGGCTGTACCATAGGTGTTGAGTGCAGCTGGACACAGCCCTGCTGTGTCTGAGTATATGATGCTATGCTGGATGCCAGATCAAGTTTGTCTCTCCCCCTGGTGTTTGCCTTGCACTGGATAGAGATATCTGCTTGAATGGGGATACAAAGGTAAACTCTGATCCACCTGGGCTATTTTCCTCACTTTCTCAACTCCTTCACAATTCAACATCTTGCAAGGGGTTTTGTGCAACCTTGTGCCCCCTGTCATGTTGTTTRTATAATGCCTATGTCACCACCATTATTTCTTGCCTTTTGTCTAGCATTTGAGCTGTTTGTGGTACTTCTGTCTTTAACTTTCTTGGACGAGACTGAGATAGGGTGTTGTTACCTACATGGGTACCAGGAGATGTTACCCTAATGCATACTACTTCTAATTCCTTGATCTGCAGAAAATCTCAAGGACGCATCAACTCAATTGGTCTGCTGAGAGATACCAGGGGACAGGATGTGATCTCCTAATTTCCTGTTTATTTATTTATTTATTTATTTACTTTGTTTTCTTTATTTAT